CTTCCTTCCTTCCTTCCTTCCTTCCTTCCTTCCTTCCTTCCTTCCTTCCTTCCTTCTCTCATTTTCTTCCTTGCTCCCTCTTTCCCTCCCTCCCTCCTTCCTTCCTTCCGTTCTGCCTGTCAAGACAAGGTCTCAAATCGTAGTCCATGCTGTCCTGGATCGCATTATACACCCTAGGATTACCTGGGATTTTGGACACTCCTCCTGCCTCAGCATCCAGAGAACAGGAATTATAGGCACAGACCACCATGTCCAGCTCTAGATTAATATTGTACAAGTAGAACCTTACAACATTTCTAGGGGTGATGTTCTACAGAACAACAGGGGAAAATGCACATAAAGCAGGAAGTGTTTTTTTTTTGTTGTTGTTGCTGTTTTGTTTGTTTGTCTGTTTGTTTTGTTTTGTTTCTTTTTTGGATTTTGGTTTGGAAGTATTGCTATTCTGGATGAGATCAAAACAGACAGAGAAAGATGTGACCAGTCACTTTTTGGGAAAGCAGGTGGTACCCATAACCACAACTGATTCATCAATTATGTAAAGTTATCCTTTCCCCTTTTCAATTGATCAAAGTGAGAAACATGACAAAAAAATTGTAAACCCCAAATATAAAAGAATAAGTAAATAAATAAAAATAAATAAAACAACTCCAGCCAGGGAAGCAGGGAGGCTAACTGCTGACTTTGACCTCTAGGATCCCATCTGGTGCAGACCTATTCAGGCCCTGTGCATGCTGCCACTGTCTCTGTGAGTTCATATGTGCATCGATCCTGCTGATTTAGAGGGCTCTGTTAACTAAATCTGATCTTCAGGTCTTCCCTACTAAACACAGCCAGGTCTCCACAGAGGCCACAGTATGACCTTTAAATAAACACATTTAAGAGTAACTAGGAAACAAAAACAAACAAAAGGCAGATGGACCAGAATAAACATTTAACAACAGGTATGTCATACTTCAAAAATGTTTATTATCCCCTCTGCTTTCTAATTCCCACAGATGCTGATCATGGATGAGAAATCAGTACACTTTAAAGAATTTTATTGCTGAACTCCTGCACAATTAATCTGCACCCTCTAAAGCCCCAGCATACTTAGCTTTGTCCAAGCCTGTGATGAGGGTATCTTCAGGTGTTCTGTGGTATCACCTATCCCTGAGATTATATGAAGAGAAGGGAATTTGCTTCATCATATTTATTATTTTTTTTCCAAACGTCTCACACTGGAGTCTGAATGTTGAGGGAAAAGCTTGAAACAAATCTGGGTTGAAAGATAGTCTATAGGGAACATTGCCAATACTATTATACTTGGTCAGAGTAAACTGGGAGAGATAGAGACTGTGCCAAGAAATGGACAATAGGTACCTGACGATTAAGTGTAAGGAAGTACTCTGATTGGAAGAGACAGAAAGACAGGATTACAGCAAGACCTGGTGAAAGCTGAATGCAGAAGACAACCTACTTCACATCACTAGGCCAAGATGATTTCTCAATTTTAACACATGTAGATGATGTGAGAGGCTAGCAATAGAGAAACATCGGGTGCTCCATATACATAAAATCTCATATATAAAAAACTATGCTCTAAGTCTAAAACAGTTCTGCAGTATATGATCATAAAGGAAAAGGCTGCCCCTCTGGGTACAGCTGAATATCTGCTCTAATGCTAATAGCTTTGTTTTACCTTTAAAAGCATAGGGCAATCCCTAAAGATGCATAAAACGCTAATCTATCCGAAGTATAGCATTTCATTTTGTGTGAAAAGTATAAACATAACTAAATAAAAATCAAAATACCATAAGGGCAATGTTATTTCAGAATTCTTTCTAGGACCATCTACCTACCAGAGAAAAGAGATAAATCCTGGGTAGCTGGAAAGGAGATGTACTATCCTGCTTCCAAACACAGACGGAGGAGATAAGGCACTCAAAGTACACCTTCAACCTAAGAAACACCATCTTCCACCACACACTGGATTCATGATAAGCCTTTGATTTTACCTGGCACCAGTCTGTCTGTATGTCTACTTTGCATTTCACTCCAAGTAATGTGCCAGTTCCCAACGAGGTCCCCATTTCACCTACTTTTAAGCTTACGTTGTAACTAACAAAATTAAAAATGACTGCATAGGAAATCAATTATATATTTAAGTTGGTGTGATGAATTTCCAGAGAACATGGGCTCAGCAAATTGTAAGGCTGCCTGACAGAGGGGGAGAATGTGGGGAGAGGGGTTTGCCCTATAGTTCAATCTTAGTTTGGATATTCTACATGCTTCCCCGAGAAAGACTGTAGACCCTATAAAGGATGAAAAGCATAGGAAGGTTATCATATTTGCTGCAATAAAACTCATAATTCTAGGTGGGAATTTTCCTCTGTCAAAACACAGTATTTTGGGGAGGCAAAATTGATGGGCAGGACAAATTGCTCAAGGAATCTAGAAAACAAAGAGCGGAAATTGTGGAAGAGAAAATGCATATTTCATTGACTCAGATGGAAGCATTAACTAGCAATTCCCTAAAATCAAGACAGTTAAAATAGCATTTCCAAATTTAAAATTTCATGTGTCACACAGCTCATTCCTCGTGCTACTGCACTAAAAGAAGACATTATGAACTAAAATGAACTTCCAGTTATTTTTTGTTGCTGCTGTTTTAGGGAGGGTCTCATAGAATCATTCTGAACTCCAATAACTCACTATGTAAATTCACGATCCTCCTGCCTCCACCTCCAGTGTGCTGGAATGTAGGCATATACCGTTATGGTCAGTTAAAGTTGGGAAATGTTTGTGTGTGTCACTGAGTAAGTGAACCCAGGACATGTACTTTCTAGGCAATTACTCCACTAACTAGTCTATGCTCCTAGCCCTAATTTCCAGATAACTTAACATGGGTTTCATGTGGAAATTTATTATTATATCTAGTCTGTGAAGAACATTCTGTCTATCTTCTTTGCTCTCAAAACTCTTTGGTATTTCTGTCTTTTAATAGTTAGGATGAAAATTTGTGAATTTCTCTCTCTATTCTACTCTTTTTTTGTGTGCACTAGCTCAGAGATACTGGCAATCATTTTAGGGAATGAGTAAACCACATACAATTATCTTTTCTTGATTTACTATTCCCTATGTCCAAAGATTTCTTAATATTTTCCTGTTCTGAAAAATAAATGCTTGAAAGATAAACAATAATTGAAAATCAGAAAACAAAAGTCACTAGGGACTTTGATCATAACTTGTTTCTCTAATAACCATACCTGAAGGAAGTAAGAGTTAACTCAACAATCAAAATGTCTGGAAGAACTTGATGGGAAAGAAGTTTACCACATTCTATCTATATAAAGTTTTTCACAAGTCTTCATGGCATCAATTTCAAATTAGGGAACATGTATTAAAAGTTTCATAACTTATGTGAATAATTCATTATAGAACACCCCATACCATTTTTCCTCTGAAACTATTATGTGCTGTGTAATACATTCTCACACAAACCATTCTAAATTCTGAGTGGATCCTTGGGGTGTAGGAGATTTGTTGAATGAATCAATAGCCACATACTATGTATTTTGATTTTTAAATATCCTATTAAAGTTCTCTTTCTGGGGTCAAAGACCATATATCATTGCAGAGTGACAGTCTCTTATATTTTTTTCTAGTACAAATTAGTCTTTATACAAAATTCCATTCTCATTTCTTCAATATATTAGTTTGGTTTTCAGTATAGATACCTATTTCTGTCTTGTACATTTTACTTTATAAGGAAAATTGAGTGGTCTAGTTTTTAACTATAAATACACTTTTAGAGCTTTCATAGTGATAAGAACAAGTAATACCAACTGCCAAATCTTGTTTTATAACCTTAGTATATTAACAGTTCTTTAGACTTGAGGGGTATTTAGAGTTTATTTAAGACAGTGATTCTCAACTTTCCTAATGCAGCAACTCTTTAATACAGTTCCTCATGTTGTGGTGAACCCCCCAGCCATAAAATTATTTTGTTGCTACTTCATAATTGTAATTTTGCTGCTGTTATGAATCATAATGTAAGTATATGATGTGCGGGATATCTGATATTCGATCCTCAAAGGGGTCATGGCCCACAGGTTGAGAATCAATGCTTTAAGATAATGAGTACATTGAGAGTTTGAAACAAGAGGGCTTCAAGTTCAAGGCCTTCAGATAGAGCTTGGTCCATTTAGTGAAAATCTGATTCAAATGAAAAGTTCAACAGGAACTGGAGATAAAGGAAAGGGGTGGTCTTGTAGAGCAAAGGTAGGCCCTTGGTTTGGTCTCCTATGTGAAAAGAGAAACAAGGATGGTTCTAGACATCTCCTGCTTATTTGCTTCTCAGTTTCTGCTCACAGTGGTGCTTTCCATATGGAAGCATCACTCCAGAATATGGCAAGCTAATTTCTGTGAAAGAATTCATTTTCACCTCTACCAAATTAACCTGAGTAAAGGCTGAGCTATATGGATAACGCTTTTTAATTTGGATTTTAGCATATGGTTTTCTAATACATATTTTAAAACTCAGCAAATCTGTTTCGACCAGATTGGAGTAACTTTATTTATAGAAAGACTCTTCAAATTGTAAGATGAATACAAAGATACAAACTCTTTCACTCAAATGATTGTTTTTTTATCTCCGAATGAAAGCATCTTTTAGACAAGGTACAAATACACTCATCTAACCATCTGATGAGTTACATATTGAAAATACCTATACTAAATATCTTCTGTATATAAAGCAGTGTTGCAGGGAATAGGGATGACATATACAAGGCAGACCCTGGTGTTGTTCACATCCCCTTTTTCTATCCTCTAGATTCAATTAGTTATGCAGATTGGAAGCTACAGAAACAGTTGCCTAGATATCATGATTTGGATACCTGTGTTTTCTAAATCTTTGTGTGCTGAAATCTCATTTTTATTAAAATATTAATTAAAATTGAATTAAAGTTGTAGAAACTTTAAGAGATGGCCTCGCTGGGAGAGAACTAGGTCATGGGGCTCCATCACCAGAATGAATCAATGCCATGCAGTGTCTCTCACTTCCTTAGATCTCAGGAGAGCACATTTCAATAAGCAAGGCCCCTCCACTGGGTTTGGCAGCTTCAGAACACAGATTCTGGAACAGAACTTTCCTTTTTTTTTCTCCATTGCTTTGTGACACAACAGGGAAGGTGACCTTAACATGGCACAGCTTAGACCCTCCAGTCACAAAAATCAGAAGCCAAATGAACACTGTGTACTGCGTGGCAGAGAGCATTCTCTTTTAGCAACAACAAAAGACTAAGTCAGTGAGCAAATAGTGATCAAATCGAATATGTTCCTGATCCGGAGGATAAAGACAGGGAACAGATGGGAATAACAGTCAAGCACAGTGCTGTACATCATCTGGGAACTAATGACTTGGTCACATACTGGTCAGGCATCCTCAAAGCAATTACTTCAGCTTTTTATTTCTCAGTTTTTTCTCCCCATAGATGCCAATGATAACAGTAGTACCTAGTTCCTAGGAATGTCTTAAGCATCTTACGACTATCTTAAACTCACAACTGAGATAAATTTATAAACCATATATGCAATATCATACTCACGGAGAATATAGAAGATGTCTAGAAGAAAAAGAAATCTGAAACCTTCTTAGAAATTAGACCAAAAGATGAACTACTGACTCTACTTTCACCAATGAATAACTTTGGCAAATAACTCACTTTTCCTTGGTATCTATTTCCTAATTTTGAGAGAAATAAAATAATTGTGAGTTCCTCTTTCATTAAAAAAATGGAGCTTAATAACTGTCGTGGGGGAAACTGGGATAAACATAATGTACTCTACTAAAATTTCTCCTTGTGAGATGCTAACTTCAGGGGAATTGTGCAGGTTTGTAAAAAGACATGAGCATTGGCTAGCACACAATAATTATGTCCCTGCTGTATTGTTGAGTAATTCCTATGTATCAGGCACATCATGGTCAGTCTGTGGACAGTAAATAGGTTTTACCAGATTGAATTTTCAGAGGGTTTCAGTAATTCAGACATGCACTCAAGATCTCAAAGAGCAGAGAATATCTACAGATCTGAGCTCTTGGGTGCAATAATAATATGCATAGATCATGTAAGCATTCAGAGTATTATGAACAACTTCTACTGGATGCTTCTATAGCCGTATTCCTCATATTAGAAAATGAATATTAAGTGCTTAGTGTTGGAGAGTTGTCATGAAAAAATACATGAGGCAGAAAGAAAGAGAGCTAGAATTATTAAAAGTCATATTTCTCAGGTTGAAATTATGGATGCATTTGCAGTATTTAGTAGCTTGTCAGAGCTGCAGTGTTATTTTGCTATAAACCCACAGGCATATCGTTAGTGTCATCTTTGAAATATTCACTAATTCAATGGCAGAATTGTAAATTGTCTTGATTCAAGAGGTATAGAGCCACCTGTTATTTTGAAAACCCGAACATCATGTATTTAAGGGATGATAAAATTAAGGAAGCTACCAGTGTATGAATCACAGATGCTAATTTGCTGACATAAATGTAGAATGATGTATTTTACAATCCTGGCAATTATGTCAGAAATCAGTCTACAGTAATTCATTAATACCATTTCTTCAGCAAAAGTGGGGGGGATATGACATCTGTAACTAATATTATGATCTATGTTATTTTATATTATGTTTTTGATTTTATGAACAGTAGGCAACCATAAGATAATTTGAATAGCTAATTATTAAAATACTCAGGTTTCCCGTTCAACTACTGTTCAAGAATGTGGATCCATTTTGCAAATTATAGGTCTTATTTTCCTGATGAAGATGATGGAAAGCGACAAGTTTCGAGAGAGTTGTGTTAACTCCTTCATGGCCTGGTGCACTAAGCACACTGACAAAACTGACTGAAGGGCTGCTATGATGCTGAGACTCTGCACAAAAACCAAATGTATGTGAAACAAGCAAGTTTTTATAGTACTATTTTTACTATTTATCTAAAACTGTATTATATGCTCTACTCTTTCATAGTTTTAGATATATTGTCATAAGTCAATGAAGATACTGTTATAGAGTTGTGTGTTTGATGGGTAGACTATAAAACAGTTGTGATAGATATTCCCTAAAGTGGCTCAGGTGACCTCATTTCATGTGAGTGGGGTTGGACGTACAGTAAGGATCATAGAGCAAAACTGATGCGGCACCTCTTACCTGTTGAAGTTGCGCAGTATGGCAAAGATGATGGAATGGTCAGTGGAATTTTAAGGAACTTGGTATGAAGCCATGCCTTAGTGGAATGAAAGAAGAGTGTCTCCGGCTTTCCTGCCAGAGGTGAAAAGCTCTCATGTGAGCAACTGCAGGGCCGACTACTCCCTCAGCCAGAGAACTGTGAGTGATCTCTGCCGTCACAGAACAGCCTGCAAGGAGGTGGAGGCTTCTGACTCTCAGGCACATGCAGTGGATCCTGTCCACAACTGGGCAGCTAGAAAGCTCATCTTTCCTCCGTTGGATGGATGATATAACATCAACCATAATGCTCACCAGAATTGGAGCCAGTGAGACTGTGAAGTGCAGAACTCTGCACAGCTTGACCCAGACATCTGAGACTGAAGAATGTATTGTGTGAAATAATCAAGTAAGTGGCTATACAGCAATCTGTGGTTAATATAATATATATGCTATCCTGTTCCTAGGAGAACAGAGATCATTCAGTCTACTAGGACAAACTGAGTTGTCTTTACAACAGTCCTTCAGAGTATTTGAGCATTCAGCACATATCATGAGTATTATCAACTCAGTTCATTTTGGGAATATATTCTGGGAAATACGAGGTTTTGTTCATAGTGAGAATTAGTAAACACTACTAGACTGGGAAACTTGATTTTGTTTAAAAGCTGAGACTTGCATTACATCCCTTATAAACAGGTATTTCTGATCTGCAAACTATACGTATTAGAAATACACAAAAAGGTAAGTTCTGACAGATACGCAACCCCTCAAAAGATCAATCCTCCCAATAGTGTCCTCTTGGACTTTTCCAGTCAATCCCTCCTGCCACCTGAACTCCAGGCAACCTGTGATTTGCTTCCTCTTAGGACAGGTTCAGTTTGCATTTTCCAGACACTTTATTAGCAGGCTCATGCTTCCAGATTGTCCGAGACTCACTTTCCCTACTTAGTATAATACAGGTACTCTAGTTACCCTGGGAACCTGAAAACACAACACCAGGATAATAGGCGCTGATAATCTCCTTTCCTCTAATTAATAAACTACCACCCAAATTCATAACAGCAATTCTAATTAAATTAATGGGTCCCACACAAAATTAATTCATAAACGTAAGGTGGGGGGGCTTGTTGGAAAGAATGGTTTCAGAGAAAGAGTGAGTTGGTGATTAAGGGTAATCAGGGGATGATATCTACTAAAATACTAGTATGTATCAAACTATTAAATAGTAAAATCATCAAAAATGGAATAGCCCCAAAACATTTTGACAACCATCCTTAATGTGCATGGTCTTGTATGGCCTTGGAGGCATACAATAGGCAAAAAAGGAGGGCCTATTTAATACTTTCATGGGAGAAACTTCTCATTGTCTAATGCATAGTGCTTACAATTTACAATAGTGGGTGCTCTTCCTTTTCTGCTCACATATACACGACCATCTTTATGCTGCAGGGAATCTTAATTTTCACAGTCATATAACTTTCAGTGTATGTAGCATTGTGTGTATACACTTACATATCATATGAACATACACATTTACTTTTCCTTTCAAATAAATCAAATAATTGATAATGCTTATAGGTGAAAATCAATAGAAAATGCGGTCATAACGACTGAACACATTTATCCAGTAAATGGCTCTTAGTAATTAACTGACATCATATACTAAAAAAATCAATAAGGAAAAGCATAGGCATGGTGACTTTACTATTTTATCAACACTTCAGTGTTCACTATGCCTGCATCTCAGCATTAAGATAGCCAGAGCCCTAGAGCTAGGGTGACCCCTTGTCGTAACCAATCAGTCAAGTTGAAAACGTGGTGTAAAACATGACTTATAGATTGAAAGCAGTTCTCACACTTAGAGATGTTCTCCTGGGAAATAAAACTGCACTGTTCCCCTTAGCCATCTCTTAATGGCTGAGCACTGTTTCTTCTCCAGTCATGCCAACAACAACAACAACAACAAACAACAAACAAATTCAAGAGACAGGCTTGGTACTACTAAGCAGGTTAGAGAAAAACATAAGATACTATGCTCCACTAAAACCAGCATTCAGCTATGGGAAGCAATAGTCCTAGCTGTAGCCACACAAAAAGAGGAACACTGGATCAAAAACAAATGGCAACCCTGATAAAACATAATCCCTGCACCCAGAGAATATTGTACAGAGAAATTGCTGAACATTATTATCTTTCCTGCATTTGACAAACTTGATCTGTGCTTGCCATGCTCAAACTGTGAGACATAGTGCTGTAGAAGTTCATTTTTACCCTAGTTCCTGACTCCTCAAGTTCTAACAGCTTCTATCCCTACCTCATTAGCTTCAGACTTACAAGTGACATCATCTTTGAAAGGACATTTTGCTTTTCTTATCCAATCCCTATCATTTACTTTTAGTAATTGAACGGAGACCTAGGAATGAAGAGAACAGCATAATTTTTTGTTATTTTCATTCTAATAGTTGAATTGCAAAGTGTAAGGGGCATGTCTAGCAAATAGAGAGATGAGCAAGCTTATTACATAAAAAAGAGAGACAAGCAAGCCTATTGTATAAATGAATCCTTAACACCAAAATAATAAATGAGACTGTGGAAATTACAGTTTCATGATAACCTTTTGTGTTGTTTGTTTGTTTATTTCAGAAATGCTTCCTACCCATAGGAAAATTTTGAATTATTTGAAACCTCCAGGCATGAGTAAATTCACAAACTCAGTCACTAGAAGGAACCAGCTCTCCAGCAAATGCCATTTTTTTTTAACTTCAGTCTTCCCACCCCAGAGCGGAATTCCAAACTTAGCTGTTAAAGAATTCATTGGGACTTTGAGTAGGAAACTACCCACAGGCTAAGTGAAATCCAAAGTCATTCATAAATAATGCACCACTCAAAATAGTTTTGTGGGTCTCTATATCTCCAATGACCTGCAAACAAATTTGTTTCATATTTGAGAACATCTTGAGGCTCTGATAATGTATTATTTTTGAGTCTATATGTTATTTTTATACATCTAAATTTAGAGTATAATTTGCAAGCATAAAGGATTAAAATATTCTCCACATTCCACATATAAAAGCCACTTTATTACTACTCAATGAAATCAAGCTTAAATCGCACAAATCTATAAACAGAGTAGAAAAGCCAACATCACATGACTATAATTAGGTACATGCCCTACTTTATTAGGATTGACTACCTATAAAAATAGTCCACCTTTGTCTTGCCAATACATATGTGGATGCTCTAACAAACATGCACCACATTCTGCACCTCAGAAAAATGCAGTTTGATGTGAAGGCATGTTTCACATACAGGTACCTCAATGAGAGGAAGCTTGGATAGTTATGAATTTAGGTATGTAAATTCACATGTCACACATTCCACTCCACCTGAATCCCTTAATCTTACTGATACTTCACAAAATGAGTCTCTAGCTGTCCAACAATGCCAGTGGTCTCTCCTGTCAACCATTATGTTCATGCTCATTTACCTAATATGCACTCTGGATTCCAGCATCTCGATTCTGAGATTTTTTTCTTTGAATAATCTCCACCAGGACTTTATAGTTGTCATTATTGTTGTATCCTTGGCTCCGATCCTTGGCTTTTAATCTAAATAAGGATGGAAAAGGTGGTTGCTATTGGAAAATTTGGGAGACTCATAGCTTCGCCTTTTAGAACATTGACTAACAAGTGAGTGTGTCAATTTCCTTACTACATTTACTAAAAAGGAACAAAGTGAAGCTTGAGTTAATGCATGAGGAACTCTTTGCTTGAATGTTTATTTTGCAATAGTTATAGAATCTAGGAGGCTAATTCAACTGGTAGATGAGATTATTGAGAGTTCAATGATAAGTTTAAAAAAGATATAAAGTCCTTTAATAAGACTATATTCCTTAAAAAGAATCTCATATATGTGATTCCAAGCAAGTACCTTATGACAACAGACATATAGACAGAGTCTGATGATCCCTTCATTAAGCCCAATTCTGTGGACTCATTGTGGATGTTGTAAAAAGGGTTATTGGCAAAAGACATGGAAAACAACCAAAGCAGGGTTTGTTGTTAGTAGAAAACAGGTTTTCTACTAGAATCTTCAAGGGTCATTGTCACGTTACAGTACCTGCACTAGATTGCAGCTACGCTACCACGTTGACAGTACTAGTTTTATATGTGAAACTTTTCTATCTTCAAAGGCTGTAGAGCTTCATGTGTTTTGTTCCAGTAGCTTCCTAGGGATGAGCAAGCCTAATGTGGATGGCTGCATGCTGATACAGGCTCTTTCAAACGTGGTAGCTGACATAACAACACGAATAATAAAGTGCAGAAAAACGGGAAATGCCTAGTGGTGTCTAAAAGTGGGAGAGGGGGTATTAGATTTATACTCATAAATGGAAAATTACATGGAAATAATAACTACTTATATTTTCTTAATAGGACATGAATATTATTCCTTGGTTGCCCATTGGCTAAAATACACACTAGCTAAATTACTTCTCAGTGTTGGAAGATTCTGCTCACACAGCTCTAGATTAATGCATAATTTAGTCACATCTACCCCTGGAATGCCACTCTTTGGCACAGGCACACTGGCTCTGAACATCCTTATCAAGTCTTTCATCCACTCATGAAAGACATGAGTGACAATACAGGGAACCTGTCCTTTGGGATGATATAACTAGGGGTTCTTTCCTATAACACAGTAGAAGACTTGAGAATTGATTTGTCTACACTCAGAGGACAAATCAGAAAGAAGATGTTATAAACAGCTGTCCTGTCACTGCCGATCAGTTCCTGCCACGGCTATCCCTGTTCTCTGTAGGACTACCACATGCCTGCTCAAGCAACAGGAAACTGCTGCTTTTGATAATAAGCTAAATTGCATGTGACAGCCTAAATGAACAAGATACATATTGGAATAGAGCATGTTTGACTTTTTCACTGTCATCTCTGGAACCATCTCCTGGAAAGGAACAGCAGAAAGACCAACTGATGTTCAAAATGGAGAAGGGATATGCTACACACCTTCATATCTGCATCTCAATAGGTGGGATCTCATCATGTGACAACTTTGATCCTGTCCAAGAGCAACCATGAAGCAGTTCAGAGCAGTTTATTATGTTTAGCTGTTCCAAAGTCAGAACTCAGTACCATTAGGATGGTACCTGGAAACTCGCTGTGTGTAGCTGTGTACACACAAGAATAAATTCATACAAATCAACAATGTTTTCCATCAGTACCTCACTGGTTAGACTTCTCCAAACTTTTATTCTCCTTAGAAAACAAGTTCAATATTAAAATTTAATAAAAGCATTCTCCTCTTCTGGAAATAACCTTCAAATTTGGTATTTTGTGACCACCTTTTCAAAAATGACCATATATATAAATAAAGGACACTTATTTTCACTATAAAAATGTCTTCAGAACTTGCTATCTGGTATTTGGTGATGAAATGTGTGAATCAGTCTTAGCCTTGGGCAAAAATGAATGGAGGGGGCAAAAAAGAAGGATGAAAACCTCAGAGAGAATGCTAGAGCAGCTGCCAAGTTTCTTCATAGACAACAAAACTTTAGATGATCTGTTTTGATTAATTTTATTTTTCGAGTGTGGCAAATTCTGTTCCCGTGAAGGCTCCAGTATTTGCATTCCTGTGATTTTTCTATCACTTCTGAGCTGGGGAGTGGTGTTGGCATTTACTGTCTATATCACCTAGTTGACAATGAATGTCTAATCTTCTGTGTCATATCTTTATTTGAATATGCCTCTTCTACCAGACAGATCTCTTTGAAGATCACAGGTGGGTCAATACTTCTTTGTGGGCTTCATAGTGACTACCCTGCATAGAAATTAGGTAGGTTCTTGGCTGAGTGTGTTAATTAATACATTGGGAAATTTCTCTACCAATCACACACATCAACACACACACACACACACACACACACACACACACACACACACACACACCACTGTCAGAGTATCAACATGTCATTTTAGCACATCTTTTCTTGGTTCTCTTCTGCAATGTCAATAATTTGTCAGGTTTTACCCTCCCTATTATTTTCAATATGCTTAATTTCTAACTTGTCTTTATCTTTGTCAGTAACTTCTTTAGATCCTTCCAAGATGTGGTCTAAAAATAAGATATTTTGGCTGGCAATCTTTAGACCTTTGAATATTTTCTCTTGCAGTATTTATTAGTAATTTTTCTCAGTAAATTCTATAATTATGGGTTTTCAAGGCTCTTCTTGAGAGAATAAAGAAAAAACGTGGGTGTGTTTTTATTGTTTTCAAAGAGAGTACAAGGAAATTATGCTGATGTTGCAGTTCATTTACATTTTAAAAGGTGACTGCATCCTTTGTTTGAACTTTTACCCTCAAAACCCTGTGGATAATGGAGAGAGATGGCTGCCACCTTGTTCTGTGCTTCTGAAGTCCCTTTGTGTCACTCTCTAAAGCAGTCTTTTAAGCATTCTTCAAAATGACTGGATTAGCCCTCCTCAACTTAGCTCTTCAAAGGCACCATATTTTGTCTTTCTCATCAAATAGAACAGTTTTTTTTTTTTTTTAAATCACTTGATCTCCTTCAAGCCTCTAGTACAGTGTAGTTTGAACACCTGGGTAAATTCATATATAGCCAAAAATTAAAACTGTGTGAAAGAGCATAACAAAGATATTATGGAATAAATGTAAATTCTTTCAGTTTTAGACCAAAGAAAATTAGCAGTCTACATAAGAAGATGAAAAACCTAGATGGTGGTACAAAGCACAAGTGAAATCAAAGTCCACAAAGTGAGACATTCATGGACAAAAGAGCCATGTCTGTCTGATAGTAGACTGCAGTGAGGCAGGGCCCCACATCTGAGGATTATCTGAGGTTTGTGTTATACACTCTGCATTCTAGTCTATATATTACACATCAAGGTTTTGGTTTTCCTCTAGCAAAGCACCTAAGAAGTGTGTAGCCTCTAGGGAAGTTCAGAATTTCCTTAGTCTTGGGGACATCAGACACACAGAAGAAGATGGTCAGTTATGAGGGGGGAAATGAAAAGATGAAATAAATGAACGGTCAATCCCCATAACTCTTTATCCAATGCTTCTGTCTTCTTAGAAACAGAATTATATACAGGGCAACAGTTTCAAATGTGGCCCCGTGGAGAGTCTGACTCCCATCAGAATAAAGATTAGAGAAAACCTTTCTCAAGAAGACCACTGCAAGGATCTATATGGCCACCATATACTCCTCTATTCAGGTATTCTCCACTCCCCCACGTCCCCATAAACAATGTATTGAAGCAGGTCTTGTTTCATTTTTAAATATGGATGAATAGCTTAAGATTCCTAAAATCCAAGGAATGGGCCAATTAGTTGGCCAGGGCCAAACAGTCAGCCCTGAAAACATACATACAAGCAGCATTATTTGAACTAAACTTGTTATAGTTATAGTCAGGCATATATACATTCATAATATACATATTTATATATGTACAAATACAAATTTAGATGCAATAACAACTAATGAAAACAGAGGCCCCAAATTTGATGGGAAATTGGGAGGCATACATGGGAGGTTTTGTCATGTGGAAAGGGAAGGAGAATTGTTGTATGAAATTAAATTGCAATCTTAACAATAAACAATCCAAGGTTTATCTCAGCATTGAGATATTAAATAAATATTTTTTAAAAAGTACAAAAGAATTGGGAGGAAGTAGATAGCACAAGAAACAAGGAATGCAAAACTAAGAAATATGAACTGAGTACTGAAATCAGACACCAAATAATTAGAAAGCTAAGTGGAACATGTGTTCATTCTGGAAGGATTATAAAATAGTTTTGGTTTTGTCATTTCATTTTAAAGTATTTTAAATTTTCCTCCCTCCTTTCTTTCCTCCCTTTCTTTCAGTACACAGATCTTAAAATTGATTTTTGTAATTTATTTAAAATTATCAAAGTCAATTTTAAAAATTAATGCACTTAAAAGAGCAAAACAGAATAAAAATTAATTTAAATTCAACTTTCTCATTCCTTGAGAGCACTTGATATTAATAAAATTTTACAACTCACAGTAGCTGTGATTGAGCGCAGAGGACCTGTAAAATTATCAAATAGTCAGCCCTGAAGACATACTCAGAAACATTATACAGACCAGGTAGGTTATATTTATATGTATTTCATATATATATATATATATATATATATATATATATATATATATATATATATATATATATATATATATAAAATGAGGAAGGAGGGATATATGGGAGATGGTTTTGGATGGAGTAAAGGGAAGGGGAAAATGATGTAATTATATCATATTCTCAAAAATAAAAGGAGGAAAGGGAAATAAAATTACCACTATCAAAATAATTCTTGGACCTTAACCTTGGAAATTATATTAGTATCTGCTATATGTTAACACTGGTGATAAACAACTTTCATGCTTCAGAATAATTTATTTTAATTAAAAACTGACAAAATATCATTTGATGCCACATATGCAGAATCCTGTGGTATGCAATTCAATGACCCATTTTGGATTTGTGGAGAAACATGCAGCAAAGATCAAAGTTTCAAACCATGATTGTGTTTTCAGTGTTTCTTGACTCTGGAACTGCTTGTGTAAAAGGCATTAGGTCCAGAAAATTTAAATATTTCACACTGTAACTGTTTAGAAAATTAGCCATTCAGATATTGTGCTTTACAAGTAAATCCTTAAAAACGTGAGATTATTTTCTTAGCCACGATATTCTGAGGAGACACACCTCTACCTGGCAGACTCGGGCTTCTGGGACACTTCCAAGTAATCATCTTTTCTCTTTTGTCAGAAAATTACTTAAATTCATTTATGCTTGGCACAAAGTACTGGGTATCTAATCAAATAATTCCACAGTAGATGGCATGATCCTTATTTCAAGCTGTCATTTGTGTTTTTCTTCCCAGTGATTTCTTCGTGTCAGAATTACGCCTGTCATCTTAAATGTCACAGTGACTTCTTTCTCATTTACACTGTCATTTGACCCTAGCATCTGGATGATGCCAGCATTAAAAGAAAATGGTGACAACAAGAAAACACAAACTTTAAGTAAACACTTCTCAATGAGAGGTTGGCCTCTGTTTATTTCTTGTTCTCTACTTCTTTAAAAAAATTGTTCTGAAACAAACAGGTAGAAAAATATGATCCATGAGGAAATCAGTGAGCAGCCCATAATATATGTGTTGTTCCAAAACATCTGTGCTTTTGTACAGTTATTTTTTGTGCTTACCAGATTGAAAAAGAAAATAGTTCTTCACATCACCGTCCTAAGGAACAGCCTAATTTTGTGATAAACTAATAGGTTTAAGCATGAAAAAGTTCATCATCCACTGGACCTCTAGCCTGTGTAGTGTATCAGTTAAAGAAAATCAGCCAATTTGTTGAAATATTCTTTGGTTTTTCTGAAATACTGTAGGCATGGATATTATCTCAGGGTTAAGCCCGAGGGAATAGTAGTAAGAACCACATGTTTGTATGGAGTATATATTGAAAACAACAGTTGTTTCGGGTTTGTTCAGACTTTTATCTGTGCCCCAAGCCCTTTTCTCTAAATTTTCCAGGGCTATCTCTGTAATTTTCTTTCCTTTAGGACATCTGAAAGAGGAGGCACCATTTTTCTAGGTTCACATAACAGTCACTTCTTGGATGCTCAGTAAATTAAGTTGTTTATGCAATGTGGATCTTCCTACTATAACACCAGCTCCTTTCTGGTTGGGAACAGTGGTTTCACTAACTGTCACAATTAAAAGAAAATGGTTGTCCATCATCCCTCTCACTCTCCTCTTCCCTTCTCTCCCTCTACCACCCCTGCCTCCTATCCTGCCCCCTCTCTCTCCCTTGTGTGCACATGCACACTCATCTCTGAAAACTCAAAAAAGTAACTAAGATAGTAATAAGAGAAGCACAGTGTCTGTGTTGGGCTTAGAGTTGTGGTTCAAACTACATTAAGTTGCCATGGTTACAGAAATACTACTTCCTGCCTTGGGGCCCACAATGTCAGAAATGAAAACAACTATGGCATCAGGTGAATTTATTCTCCTTAAGCATTTGCTGGCTATAATAATTCAGTCTGGAAAATCCTTGGCAGTAAGGATTGAGGAGTGACCAGTGAAAAGAGAGTTATTGGGGATATCATAGAAATATATGATGTTAGGAGCTTGGAAAATTTGATGAGAGGGTTCTATGGAAAAACTTTCCAAACAAAGCAAACAGCTTCTTTGTGTCCAGGTGTGCACTAATGTGAGGCTTTATAGCCATGTGGAAATTGTCAAGAATGGAGTTGCTTGCCTCCATCTTCACAGGAGATATTCCTACGCATTCTAAATAGTGGTAGTTGGAAACTAGGTTAATAAAATTACATTGTAATATCATGGAAATTTTCTTTCAATGCAATCCACATAGGTTTGGCAGACCAGCAAATTATTATGCAGCTGATGACTGCAAAAATATTGTTCCCCAGGATCATCTCAGATTACTTTTTCTAAAACCTTCTTGGGTTTAAAGGTTACAAGATCTAAGTGCACCGAATGAAAAGTAGATAAAACCTCCAGCATATTTGTGTGCTTAGAAAAACATTTAAAAATGCAAATGAAGATTACTCAGAGGTCATATCATGTTCAGGGACTTGCAAGAAGCCTACAGTGAATATGTGAGCACTGAGCAACCAACGTGGGTATTTTTACAAAAGGCTGCATGTGCATGAAGAGTATCTGACTGCTGTAAAGAACTCATACAGTAAGTGATTTTTCCATAGTATTATAAGACTGTAGAATTCAAAGAGACAAGAGATAATTTCCATTATTTCACCTTATCACAGGTGGGCACATCATAGATTTAACAAACATATTGGCCCCAAAGATTTTCACTGATAGTTACAAACATGACATAATTTTAGAATAGCTTATATCTGACTATTATATTATGTATATTCTTTATTAATTTGGAAAGGAATTTCAGAAACTATTAACTTTCTACAAACTATGATTTTAATGTGCTTAACTTGCCATTAATTTTCAGATTGATTTGGAAAAATACTAATTATAATATCCTAGGTATTTAACACACATTCAGTTATAAAGGGTCTTCTGGAAATGGAAATTGGTAAGTATGTTTAGTAAGTAACACATTATGTTTACACTCACTTTATTGCCAACACGCTGAGCTATCCACTGCACTGATTATAGACTCTAGGAGATTTCTAATTCTCACCACCTGGAGCATGCTGAAGGAACTCTTTTTGCTGTCCTCATCTCTGTCCCTTGCTTCTTGTACAATCTTGTTTAGGCTTTCGTCTATTTTTTCCAAAACAAAACATTTAATGTTTTGTTAAACCCTACAGCACAGCCAGGACACAAAGTAACATGCCATATTTAAAAGAAAATCTACTGAGTTTAACAGGAGAAACCACAGGAGGAAGTATATACTAAGAAAAGATTTTTTTTTTAAGAGCAAAGGTGCTATAACAGGGTGGAATATAACCGATGAGAGTAGAGAAAATTGTGACCCAAATTCTAGAAAATATTTAAAAATGGTGTACAGCGAAGGCACTCCACCAGCAGTGGATCTTCTAGAAGGGTAATTCAGCTGAGAACTGCTTGTCTGACATGGCCCTGATGTACCTCACTGATGACTTCATCACTCAGAACTTGAAGCAACTAATGGGCAGAATGATGAGGACACAACTGTGTAGCTTGATCTGTTTGGGGTGGTGGTGGTGGTAGAATCAGAATCCATCCCTGGTGCATGAAGGGGCTTTTTGGAGCCTACTACCTATGATGGAACACCTCATGAAGCCTTGGGGCAGGGGGAAGGGCTTGGACTTACCTCTAGTGGATGTGCCTCCCCATGGGAGACCTTGCCTTCTTGAGTGTGGGGGAGTGAACGGTGGGTTGGGGGGGGGGAGATGGGGGGGGGGGGAGGAAGTAAGAGGGAGATTTTTGATTTTTGTGTAAAATGAATGAAAAAAATTCTTAATTAAAAAAATGGGCAGAAAGGCTTTGCAAACTTAGGCACACTCTAAGAGGAAGAAGTAGAGGATAAAGTTGTAACCAGATGACTTATAAATAGACTACTTCATGTTTGAGAGCTGGGAGAGAGCAAGAATGATGTGGAATGTACATAGATTCTAAGATCAGGGAGGACAGAAGGAAGCAGTGTAGTAAAGGGGACAACTAAATGCAGAGGGAAACATTGCTGTCATCACTGTCAGGAAAGCTAAAGGAAGAAAGAGCCCCATAAGTAAAGGAGGACTAACTAAAACTATGTCACTCCTATTGCTAAATAGTCAGAGGAATGAATCAAAACGATTCTTATGAGGCAGGGGCGATGGCTCAACAGCTAAGAGCACCAGTTGCTCTTGCGGAGGACCCATGTTCAGTTCCTGACACACACTTGGTAGCTCACAACTTCCTGTAACTCCAGGCCCAGGGTGCCTGACACCCTTCTGTGGCAATCATAGGCACTGCTCACTGCAGTTGAATAAAATAGAGAAGTAGCTATCTTTATTTAATATAAGACTTCGAAAATTTAGAAGTGAGTTTCAGATTATGTTCTCTTTCAAGACTCTTTCTGTAGTCTTGTAGTGTTTGTCAGGGGCGTATCCTCAATGGATCCAATAAAATTGGGTGGAGAGTGAAGTTCCTAGAACCACAAACATTCTGCATAATTCAATAACTCAGAGATCAATGTCTCTGTTGAGACTGTCATTTTCTTCTGTAACATTTGTATAACCATAAGTTTTTTTTCTAATATTATAATAGATGTATTTATATAGGTATATAGATACACATATTAGCTAAAGTGCTAAACTTATATTATATTAAATGGTTACTATTAGCTGTATTAAACTTGAATAAAAGAATAAAATATTCAAATTAAGAATAATTTTGATGTCCCCAAAACTAAGAATACAATTACACAGAGTGTACATGAAACACTTTGGGGGATTGCAATCCAATACCTGGGTGGAGATCACCATGTGTAGAAGTGGAAATTGAAGGCAGATGTAACTGTCTGAGATGAGAGACATCTCAGTTATTAAGAGCACTGGCAATTCTCGAAAAGGACCCAGATTTGGTTCCCAGCTCCCACAGGATGTCTCACAACCTTCCATAATTCCAGTTTTAGAGTATCTGAGAATTTTTCTGGCCTCTGTGGACACCTGGCTCACATATAGTATACACATATACATGCACACATAACACTCAAGCACACTAAATAAAAATAGCAAGAAATTGCCTGACTGCTTGTGCAGCTGTACAAAAAGAGAAGAGGAAAAGGCATTGTCTGAGGCCAACGTGGTGGTGCTCACCTGGAGCCAGGTGTGGTGATTCTCACCTATATAATCCCAATACTCAGAGGGAAGAGATTGAGAACTACGAGTTGAAAGCCAACCTGGACTATGTAGAGGGATATTTGGTCTCTGATTTCAGTTTTAAGTCCTTATTTCTTCTATTTCTTTTTCCATGTCTCTCATGTTATTTACTTCCTCCTGGTTCATTGTGTTTTATCTCATTTTTTTTATGCTGACATACATCGTGGATTTTTTTTTTTGAGACAAAGTTTCTCTGTGCAGCTTTGGCACCTTTCCTGGAACTCACTCTGTAGCCCAAGCTGGCTTCGAACTCACAGAGGTCCGCCAGCCTCTGCCTCCCGAGTGCTGGGATTAAAGGCGTGCAGCACCACCACCCTGCCATCTTTAATTTTTTAAGATTGTAATTTAATAACATTACAGTAAAAAACAATTAGAAAGGTTAACAAGAAAATAAAAGAGAGAGGGAGGGAGGGAAGGAGAGATGCAGTAAAGGATGTATGAATTAAGGGAGAGAAGGAAATGCAGAAAAATTGTATGAGTACTTCCAAAAAAAAAAAAAAGAAAAGAAAAGAAAAGAAAAGAAACAATTAAGTGTTCTATGGCACCTTCATGGTATTGCTGTATCATATGACTAAACCTCACTCTTAAACATAGCTCACTTTATTCCACATATAATTGATTAGAAAAACATTTTGTATTTATGGTTCAAAAGACCCCAAATTCATGAATGGAAAGACCCACTCTTAATAACCCACTTTTGTTGCTCACACCACAGTTTTCTTGCTTAACTAATTCTACTGCCTTTCTGA